AAGATAAAACTTTTGATGAAAGTGACTTTGATGATGAAGCATACTATGCAGCTTTGGGAACTAGGCCACCTATTAATATGGAAGAATTGGATGAATCATACCAGAAAGTAATTGAACTCTTCTCTGTATGCACTAATGAAGACCCTAAAGACCGTCCTTCTGCTGCATGCATTGTTGAAGCTTTGGAAATAGAGGTCCAGTATTAAGTATGCCCTATGTATATAACTCTTTACTCTGACACATTTATATAGTTACTTTACTGATCTGTAGTTAGTTATTAGACTCCTTGGAGGTGGCCTATTTGAGGACCATAGTATTTTGGTAACATTTGAGTAATTATTTCTAATATATTTCATATAAGCTTATGATAAGCTCCTGGAATTGTACTGGGTTTTCTCTGAGACTAGTTACATAGTACTTTGTATTGTTCACGCAGACTTAAAACACTAGCAATAAAATGCTGTAAAATGTTTAACATTAATTTGAATTGAATGACCATTACTTTTATTAATAATCTTTCTCAAAAACTCTCTATTTTAATGGATGTATTCAAATTAGCACTTTCTACAGGACTAAATAAGCCTACATTTGTTTGTATTTTAAAACATCAAACCTTTTACTGGCCTTCCTTGGCTGATGTGCTTATTAACAGAGTATGACTCAAAAGAGTAGCTCTTTGGATAGTCCAGACTTTGGCTACAGCTTGTCTTGCTTTCTTGGATGTTCTCAGATCTTTGTTTTTTGCTTTATTAAATGTATTTCATATTTTGTATTGAGATTTTTTTATTTTACTAATCTATATCTTCAGTACTTCAAGTCTGGTGTAAAAATAATAGAACCTAAATAGGGTACTATAGAATAAAGGATACCTTTGGTTCCAGAAGTTATCTCAGCATTATCTTACTGTGTACTATTGAGTGTGTTGTCATTAAACATATTAAATAGAAAAAAAAAAAAAAGTTAAAGAATTGTAAGGAAACAAGGCATTGTGAGCAAGGGCCTGTAGAAACAAAAGAAATGGAAATCAGATGTGCAGAGATCCCGAACAATGAATTTTTCAGATGCACATTATGTATTTTTACTATACTGAAGTGATTTAAAAGTGGCTGAAAATATGAATATTACATAGGCGACTATAAACTATACACAGCAATAAAAGAGAGCCAAAAGAGCTTTTGGAAATTTAAAAATAAATCCTAAAATTAAAAACCTGCATTAGTGATTTATTGATGCTATAACAAATTACCACAACATCAGCAGCTTAGAATGGCATAATTTGTTATTTTATAGTTCTACAGGTCATAAGTGTGACACAGGTCTCACTGGGCTAAAATCAAGGCATCAGTAAGGCTAGAATCCTTGTAGTCGAGTATAAGGAAAGATCCATTTCCTCCCTTATTTGGGTTGTTGGCACAATTCACTTCCTGTGGTTAAAGAACTGAAATCCCCAGTTCCTTCCTGGTTCTCACAGCTGAGGGCTCTTCCCTGCTTCTAGAGGCCACTTGCTCTCTTTGAATGATGGCCCTTTTCTACATCTTCAAGGCTGGCAACAGCAGGTCAAGTCCCTCTACCCCTTGAAATCTCTCCTTCTCCTTCTTCCATTTTACCTCTCTGGCCCATTCCTCTGCCTCCCTCTTGCCCTTTGAGGAGCTCTTGTTACTAGATCAGGACCACCTGGATAATCCAGGTAACATCTCTGCCTCAAGGTCCCTCACTAAGTCACATCTGGGAAGTCCATTTTGCCACCTAAAGTAATGAATTCACAGATTTGGGGGATTAGGATCCTGGGGAGCCCCTTATTCTGTCTACCATAACACCTAATAGTGAGTTATGCAGCAGATTAAATACAGTCAAAGAGATAATTAGAAAACTAGAAAACAGATCTGAAGACACTCTATAGAATGCTGCAGAGGAGAAAATAAATGGGAAGTATAAGAGAGTTTGAAAGATAATAGACTACAGTGATATGCTTTAACACACGTCAGCAAAAGTTCAGAAAGATAGAAGGGAAAAAAAAGAAGAAAAAGAAAACACGTGATGAAATTATGACTGAGAACTGATGAAGGACCTAAATCCTCAAATTCAGGAAACTCAATCCAAAATAGGATAGGCAAACAGCAACAACAAAAATATATAAATAGATATGTAGACACATCATAATGAAACTATAGAACACCGAAAACAAAGAAAATATTTTAAAAGAGCCAGAGTTAGAAAAAATAGATTATCTGGGGGAAAAAATGACAATTAGACTGGATGGCCAATTCCTCAACAGCAGCAACGAAATATAGAAGAAAACAGAATAATGTCTTTCATGTTCTAGGATAAAATAACTGTATGCCTTAGCATTTTTCGCCAAGCAAAACTATCTTTCAATAATGAGAACAAGACAAAAGATTTGAATAGACATTTCACCAAAAGAAACTATATAAATGGACACAAA